AAAATACTCAAGCTCAGCTATCACAATCAGGTTTTGAATTTTAGATTTTTTTATCAGTTTATTTAGGTTATAATCATATAATATAAATTATATATTATATATTATATATAATAATAATTTAAGCTGTACGCTTGCCCTTGCTTAATTTTGCAATAAAATATATAATCACTGCATTTAAAGTACAAGTAGTAGACATTGAATTTATTTCTTCACTGAGGTGGTAACTCTTTAGGTAAAGTGTGTTTAACATCTTTGAGGTTCTTATAGGTTGCTCTAGCCAATGAAATTAACTTATCTTGGGGCCTATTTTCCTGGCCGCTAAACACAATCCTAGCAACCATCCCAAGTGCACTGATCAATGAGAAGAGAGCTGTCTTTAAGGGGCGTGGCTGGGGTGGTATTTGGCTCTAGGGCTATTCATCAGGTGCTATCTCAGAGTAAGCAGGGTGGGCGTTGGGAAGAAGACAGCGAGAAGCCAGGCGAATCTCTTCGACACCAGCTTAAACAGTCCTCAGTTATACCTAATAGGGTAATACCCATAGGCCTAGAGGATCGGACCCTTTATGACGGAGAGCTGGTCCAGTACCTCCTGAACAGGGGTAACTCGGGATCTAACACCCTGTTAAGCATTTCATCACATTCAGTATCTTTTTACACTTGGTGTTTATCTTACTGATATGTTCATTCCATGTTAACCTATCATTAAACCACATACCCAAAAATCTAAAGCAAACAGTGACTCTCCAATATCACCCAGAACTTGAGAAAAAACGTTATTAATCATAATGGAAAAGAGTAGAGGGCTAATGACACTGCCCTGAGGAGTACCATTCTCTACCCTATATCTTCCTGATACAGGTGTCCTGATTCTGACTTGTATACTTCTCTCAAGTAAGAATTCTTTAATCCAATTATATGTCCTACCTGTTATTCCTATCATTTATATTTTTATCATAAATCCCTCCTTCCAAACATATCATATGCCTTCTCTACGTTTAGTCCGTGGGAACTTGGCTTAGTTGGTGGTGTGGGTCGCCGGATTGAGTCCAGCATGGTGTACTGCGGAAGGTGCCCTTGAGCCAGGCCCTAAACCCCTAACTGCTCCCCAGCATATAAATAAGTGACTGTGTTTGTGGCATAAATAAAAATTTTGAGTTTCACTCTGTCCTTTTTGAAGCTTTACAGACCCTCATGATGATGGTACCCATCAGTCGCTTAACACTTTGTACTATTTAGTCTGTTTCTTAAAAAGGTTCGACTATATCACTGTCGGACTTCTGATGGAGTGTTCAAATCAATGCAGGTAGCAGCTTTACTGAACATCAAGCATGTGAGCAGAATCACACATTTTCTACTGGGTATTATGTTACATGATCATCAGGGTTGACTACAACTTTTTTTTATCATCGAACAAATGGAACAGCCAGAAACTGCTTGTTTTAAGTTCCAAAACATTTACAAGTATTTTATTTCACTACTTGCATTATGATAACTTACAGCTGGACCATTTACAATTAATGCTACTGATGATAAATGACTGATCCATAACTATTTTGTTATCTAAATGATAAACCAACACACTTATTAAAGCACTGCAGATTTTATTAGTAACTTCTATTCGTTTACAAAAAATTACAATGGATTCACATCATCAAGAAAAATAACATTTTGAAACAAGTCAACATGTGTCAATATGTTAAAATGTTTTCATAACAAGGGACATAAGGGCCACAGGGCAACAACCATTCAGTGTTTTGGAAACATGCCACTGGCACCACAAGAGATTCCTTCCACACGCTAGGAACTTCGTGTTGTTCCAAGCAGGACTGACCACGAAGCCACCATGAAGACCAGGGCTTTTCTTCTCTTTAATACGACCAACAGATTTAAACACACCTCACCTCATCAATTTGAATCTTACAGCCCATTTCTGAAATTAGAATGATCATGACAACAACGGATATCCAACCTAGAGTAGAATTTGTTTAACTCTTCAGCATCAGGCTTCACAGGATAAAATACTCTTCTCTGCTTGTTCTGTATCCCAAACAGGGAGTTCATTCCTTTCCAAGCCATCCTTGAATATCCATTAATTGCCTGAGTCTGTAGACATTGCACAGTGTTGACTGGAGTTGCTGTCGCATTATCCACATTTGATTTTCTATAACCAACTGTGACAAATACATAAAAGTTCAATATCAGGGGTATAAAATTGTGTCCCTGATGACCATCAGATGTTTATTTACAGGAACACGTCCCGTCCCTGTGATTTGACAGAATTGGCCAAAACCTTCAATTTCAAGTTCAGCATCAGAGTTTTGAGCTTTAAGCCAAGTTACAGTAAGAGAAATGATGCAACATCTGTATTCTGACAAACTTTACATATACCTGTAGTTCACCTATTTTATTCCGCAACACATGTATGACAGAGGGCAGAAGAACAACACATAGCTGCTGTCGCTGTACTCTTTAGTGCACTCCACCGCTCTTTACCTGCTTCGTCAGCCAAACAGTCCTGTTCCTAGTATTCACTCTCTCCAAAGTCTTTCCTGAAGAAGATACGAACACACCCACAAAAAGTTTCAAAACACCAGAAAACAATTTGCCATGTCCATGATGGACGGACGAGATCAAACACATTCGGTCACTAGAAAACAGTCTCAGTAATCAGTTGGCTACATAAACCGACAAATAACAAATGCAAGTACATGTGCCGGTCGCTACTAGTGCAGTGTCCCGCCCCTCAGTATCTCTGGTTGTATAGAGTCTGAAGAGGTCTTCATAGGTCAAAACATATGGACCCAGTCTAAAACTGACCTCAGGTAAGTCAATGTCATGACCCAATCGTAACTGGAGACAATGCATTGTGAAGTTCAGCATGTCCGCAAACTTGCAGACTAGGGCTGGACCATAAAACAACAACAACAATTATTGCAATATACTTTTTTTTTTTTTCAAACAATTTTTTTTTATCAAGATGTTAATTTGAGGAAAAGGACAGAAAAAATCTTTTACTTGATTTTACCTATTTGTTGACAAAGATTTTATCATAATTGTTTTGAGTGATCTGTGGGTGGTGATGGCGCATAGATAAGATGCTTGCCTTTGCTGTGGGAGACCTGGGTTTGATTCCCACTGTGAGACATCTAACATTGTGTCCCTGAGCAAGACACTTAACCCCTCGTTGCTCCAGAGGCGTGCGACCTCTGACATGTATAGCAGTTGTAAGACGCTTTGGATAAAAGCGTCAGCTAAATGAATAAATGTAAATCTGTCCCAGCTTTGTGAAGTGATCCACTTTTTGGCATCAAGTGTTCTGACTATAAAGAAGAGTTTAAACCACAACTAACCATCGGGTTTCTTCAACTATCAAGCAGGTGCAAAAATCGCCAATATCGAAAGATATGAAACTTTTTGATCACAATAACAATTTTAGTCATATCGTCCAGCCCTATCGCAGACAGTTGCATGCATGTCGCGGTTCCTCACGGGTCTATTCCAAGTACTGTAAAAACGATTTATTGTTTCTTTTTGTTTGGTTCAATGGTGATAAATGATTCAAATGTCCTGCAAAGTTCATACACAACTCGGCACAATATCCTGCATCTGGTCCACACATCTACGCCACACATACGCACTGACTTCCCCTTCCTTAAGGGTTGAAGTCACAATTTTGGATTTATTCACGACTTTAAAAAGATTTATTAAATGCTTATTTCTTTTCACATGTTTATTTACAGGGTTATGTGTTGATATTTATATCATAACAGGCTATATATTAACTCCTTGGGAATAACCCGGTAGTTCTATGTAAAATCAGACATTGACAATCAGATACTGAGTCAAAATGGTATGATTTTTGTTTCAAAACAGCTCAGAGAAGATTTGACTGTGAGATAGGGAATCGAATCAGGATCCTCCTATTGAATCATCAAATCTGAGTATTCGCAGTCAGCCCTACAAAACTCTCTTTATGTTTCCACAGACGCAGGAGCGGAGCGATATATTTCTGTAGTCACTTGAAAACAACTGTTATAAATATTCAAACGAGTCCCAAGACGAAGATACCCAGTTGAAGAATGATTATAGCAACCAACTCTCTCAACATACATATGGCATCTGAGTACTGTACAGAAACAGACTGGAAAAATCTGAGCCTGGTTAACTCCAACACACCCTTAGTTACTGTTGCTAAAGCCGACCAAGAAATTTTGCCCAATTTGTTGGGAAAAAAGCGATCTCAGAAAGAAGCAGGCAGTTTGGCAGTTGCATTGTACATTTGGAGGGTGTATTCAGGCTGTCAGACTGACTCAAAGTGACTCAAAGTGACGTGAAAAAAATAAAGACAGAAGCTAAAGCCTACCGATCACAGCGTAAAAGTGAACCACTGCAGTAACTTACCTGATGATTGAGAAAGAGGACAACGATATTATGGATCAACACTGCTCCTGCACAGCTGGGTAGGTCTCTGTTTACTATTACAGTCATTAAAAAGCAGAACAGTAGGGGTTTATAACGTTACCTTCAGTAGGAAGTTAGCTAGCGTTAGCTAACTTCCTACTGAATGTAATGAAATAAAGGCCTGCTGTCCTGCTTTTTAATGATTGTAATAATGAATAGAGTCCTACCCAGCTTTAGAGTAACACTGTTGTTCGTTCATATCGTTGTCTTTTGTCTCAATCGTCGGGGATGCAGTGGTTCACTTGTACTGTGTGATCAGGAGGCTTTAGTCCGTTTCAGTCAGTCTGACAGCCTGAATACAACCTTGAAATCTATCATGCAACTGAAAAACTGTCTTCTTCTTTCTGAGATCGCTTTTTCCAACAAACTTGACAATGTTTCTCCGGGGAGTGCATTAATAGACAGTGGTAGTGCCAAGTTTGTCGGACTTAGCAACAGTAACTAAGCGGGGGCGGGGCTTAGCGAAGGGTCAATTGTGTGAAAAAAACTTTGTCTAAATTTGTTTTCTGACCAAAATAACACAAATACAGTATGAGCAGTTTAAGAATCAACTGCTCATGTTTTACACATAATGAGATCAATTAAAAAACAGGAGAGTCCATTCAATTAGAAATAAATGTGTTGTTGGGAGGTAAGTGAAGTCATTTCATTTCATTGTCTTTTGACCATAGTGCTGTACAGGTGACATAAAATACTCTGAGAATACTCTAAATCAATGAATACATGTAATACCAAAAAACGATCATATGGCTTCATCTTAGCTGAAAAGGTGAAGCATGACTTATTTTTGAGACTGTCACAGTTTTGAACTCTATTTCAATCCTGCTGGAAGCAATTGGCTCAAAAAGCATCTCTGCAGCTTCATTTACTTCCCCTGCTCTCACCAGCACATCTGTGCTTTTTGAAAATATGATGACGAGTAAATCTTTTACCACAGATGCTGCAACTAAATGGTTTCTCCCCTGTGTGGACCGTCAAGTGTTGTTTTAGATTTCCTTTTTCTACAAATCCTTTGCCACAAACTGAGCAACTGAATGGCTTCTCCCCTGTGTGGATTCTCAAGTGTCGTCTCAGAGTTCCCCTATCTAAATATTCTTTGCCACAAACTGAACAATTAAATGGTTTTTCCCCTGTGTGACTTCTCAAGTGTTGCTTCAGATGTCCCCTTTCTCCAAATAATTTACCACAAAGGGAACATCTAAATTGTTTCTCCCTTGTGTGGACAGTCAAGTGTTGATTTAGAGTTCCCTTTTCTACAAATTCTTTACCACAAACTGAACAACGGAATGGCTTCTCTGCTGTGTGGCTTTTCGCGTGTCTTCTTAGATTTCCCCGATGTACAAATCCCTTACCACAAACTATACAACTAAATGGTTTCTCCCCTGTGTGGAGACTCAAGTGCTGGTTCAGATTTCCCCTTTCTCCAAATCCTTTACCACAAATGGAACAACAAAATGGCTTCTCTCCTGTGTGGACAGTCAAGTGTCGTCTCAGATGGGTCTTTTGTGCAAATCCTTGACCGCAAACTGAACAACTAAATGGTTTCTCCCCTGTGTGGATTATCAGATGTCGCCTCAGATTTCCTTTGTCTACAAATCCTTTACAGCAAACTGAACAACTAAATGGTTTCTCTCCTGTGTGGGCAGACAAGTGTTGTTTCAGATTTCCCCTTTCTACAAATCCTTTACCACAAACTGTACAACTGAAGGGTTTCTCCCCTTTGTGGACAGTTGCGTGTCGTCTCAGATGAGTCTTTTGTGCAAATCTTTTACCACACACGGAACAAATAAAGGGTTTCTCCCCTGTGTGGACCCTCATGTGCTTCGCAACCTCCACTTTCCATGGAAATGTTTTTTTACAAACTGGGCAGCTGAAACATTTTCCCTCTGAATGAAGTCTCATATGAGTCATTAAGGAGTTCTTTGCGGGGTATCTTTTACCACAAACTGAACATCTAAATGGTTTCTCTCTTGCTTGGAGTCTATTGTGAAGATCTCTGGTCTCCTCCCAATCATGACTGTCATCAGTCTCAGGTTCACAAGAGTCTTCAGTCTTGTCATCATTAGTTGGTTGTAAATGTTTATCTGAATCTAAGTTCCTGACCGGTTCTGGTCCTCCACAGTCCTCTTCATCACCCTCCGTTTTCGTCTGTTCAGTTAGTCTTTGATGAAGCTGTGAGGACTGAGGTTTTTCTTCATCGTCTTCTTCACTCTTCACAAAAACAGGAGTGAATGTGAACTTGATGATTGCCGCCTCCTCCAGCCCTCGAAGCTGCTCTCCCTCCTGACTCGTCCAGAACTCCTCCTGTTCCTCTTTAATGTGTAGGGGCTCTTTTGGGTCCTCCTGGTCCAGACTGAGGCTCCACTCCTCTTTCATGTGTGGGGGCTCTGGTGGGTCCTCCTGGTCCAGACTGGAGAACCACTCCTGCTGCTCAGGGGGAACCTCTTCTTTACTCACCAACAGCAGCTGGACGTCAGTGGAGACTAATGAAATACATACACACATTTTAGAAAACTGTAACTTCCTGTTAACATTTAAATCACTGAAAGCAACACTTTCTTAAATGTGGAAATATGCTGCACATTTTGTAAAACATATTTGAAAGTCATTCAAAATAAAAATCCCACAAGAATACAAAGGATGAGCTGTCGCAGGTGATTTATAATCTGTCCTTAATTCAATGCATTTCTCTGTGCATTTGTTTGTTTCTGATTTACATGGGAACCCTGGATATTCCTGTAAATGGCCTGAAAACCAAACCATCCAAAAAATGCTTTCGCACTTGAAACAAACCAAACCATGGTTCAGTTTGACCTGGACCCAAACTAACTCTTTTTGTTTGAACAAAGTTTGTCTGTTTGGTCTGGACTGAGGTCTGGGGAAGGTTCCCGAAGTCTGAACTAAGCACGTTATGTGTGAAAGCCCCTTAGATTTGCATGCAAGTTTGGGACAGAATCAGATTTATAGTCTTCCATAATAAACTTAAAAAAGATTTAGATCTAATGTTAATTGTTGGTGTAATAGCAAGATCAAAGATGACTAGGGCTGCAGCCAACGATGATTTTACTAATCAACGCTTCTATAGATTATTTGAACGATTAATCGATGCATCATTTATGAAGTACTACAAAGTTACACCCCCCCGTAACAGGTTGTGTACGTTGTGTCATACAGCAAACATCAGACCAACAACATCAATAGACCAACAACCAGACAACTGCTTTACCAACACACAAACACCACCAGAGTGCTACGAGTTATAAGGTGCAGCTCCCCAACACCCAGCTAATTCACACTGTGACGTCACAACACAAACTCACGGAGAACAACAAATGGGCACATTTTCAGCTGAGGAC